TCCGTTTACTAGAAATGCAATTAACTAGTAAAGTAAAGTAAAATTACCTCCGGCAGTAGATCGTCCGGGTCGTCTTGGTCCATGGCGTCCTCCTGCATGGCCTCCCCGCGTGCCTGCTTGAGCCGCACGACGTGACGAGCTTGTATCTTTTCGAGCTCCTCCCTCGCTCGGTCAACGTCTTCAGATTTCTGTTTCCTATGAAACACCCTCGCTATGAGCGTCACGATCTTCTCCGCCTCAGACAAACTGTCTGTACGGAGAAGAGCGCGGTAGGCGTTTATGGCCAATTGGAGACGCGGCCTCTTTTACAATCAGTCGATAAATGGCTCCGAACACGCCGCAGGGCGTGGGTGGCACAAATGTGGACGACTGTCAAGGATCGGAAGGCTTCAGTTGCGTCTTCCTGCTCGCTCTCTAGTCGGAAGCAGCGGTCCAGGAACGACCCGAAACTGACCAGGACTGCGTGGATGAAGGGCCTGAAAACGACGAAATTAGTGAAGGTTGGTGAAAAATTTCTAAAAACCAACGGAATGGTCAAATTAAATCAATACTCACCAGCTATCATCTACAACGACAGTTTTGAAAATTCTGCCAGCCCCGGACCACTTCTCGTTCCATCACCATCGCAGCCATTGTAGCCAGTTGAGGGTGGCAACCGCGTCATCAGCTGAGAAACAGCGAGGCTGTGCTTGCCAACCACGGGCCTGACCACAAGGGACGCATAGAAGACGGGCCGAAGCGCTCCTCCATGAGACTAGGGGTAATGGACTCGCAACGGAGCTGGCCGGAATCTCTGCCTTGCTAATTGTAGTTCACTATTTCTCCGACTAAATGTGCGATTTTTGAGATGGCTCGGGCATTTTCGGAAAGAAGACATCTTAAAGTATGCCCTAAATTCTTAAAAGTTTCAATTTTCCCACCAGGGCTCGAACAGGAGCAGCTTCGCCGTTGCGCTTCTCAAATGCGCAGGGCGACGGCCATGGTGCCAGGGGCGACGCAGGGGGGGCGCCTCTTCAACTTGCGATAGAAGCTTCCGGATGCCGCAAAAGTGATGGGACATAGTTTGTCTTCGACATATATCAAGGTACACCACTTGTCCCATCACTTTTGCGGCATCCGGAAGCTTCTATCGCAAGTTGAAGAGGCGCCCCCCCTGCGTCGCCCCTGGCACCATGGACGTCGCTCTGCGCATTTGAGAAGCGCAACGGCGAAGCTGCTCCTGTTCGAGCCCTGGTGGGAAAATTGAAACTTTTAAGAATTTAGGGCATACTTTAAGATGTCTTCTTTCCGAAAATGCCCGAGCCATCTCAAAAATCGCATATTTAGTCGGAGAAATAGTGAACTACAATTAGCAAGGCAGAGATTCCGGCCAGCTCCGTTGCGAGTCCATTACCCCTAGTCTCATGGCTCCTCCTTCTATAGCAGGGGGCGCATCGCACAGGAGATTACCCGTGCTGTAGAGATAGGCTGTCCGGCCAGCTTTTGACTCATTTTTCAGCAGCTCCATCTGCATATCTGATGACCATGCGTACTGTTGGCAGATGATAAAAAATGTTTTGTTATTTTAAACCAAGGGAGTGGCCCTGCCGCGCCAGCCGGTCGAGAGGTCGGGACTTCCCTCGCACTCGCCGCCTCAGCTTTCGCAGTCGCAGGAAGCAGCTGCACGATGTGTTGCCTACCTTCCGCCCGGCGGCAGGGGGCAAACCAACGACGCGCGTGCAAAGTCTGAAGCCCCCCCCCCCCACACACACACTCACTAAAAACACGTCTGCACGGCACCGTAGCTTTAACTCACCTGAAACATGTTTGGAGTATCGTAGTCGACGATTTCCCAATTCTGTTGTGCCTTCTTCTCAATCAGAAAATCAGCATTCTCATCAGCGGCCTTGTCGTCTCGCCTTCGAAGGTCACGCTCCGAACTCGTCCATATCCCACGTCGCACAGTGGGCGGAATGACCACTTTCGACAAGAAAAAGTCGAAATGTTGCGATGTGTGTATGAAAATTCGTATCTGAGGGTTTTAGGGTCATCTAAACACGTTTCTGAAGTTAAAAAAACTATTGGACAGCAATTTGACATAGTTTACAAAATGACCTAAGTACAACTTTTGGGTAATTTACATGAAAAACTTCTTTTTCTTTTCAAAATTAATGTAGAACAAACAAAAACATTTTATTCTTCTGTGGAGGGAAGGAAAGTTGCCCTTCGCAGAAGAATAAAATGGTTTTGTTTGTTCTACATTAATTTTCATGTAAATTACCCAAAAGTTGTACTTAGGTCATTTAATAAACTATGTCAAATTGCTGTCCAATAGTTTTTTTAACTTCAGAATCGTGTTTAGATGACCCTAAAACCCCCAGATACGAATTTTCATGTACCTATCGCGACATTTTTCTTGTCGAAAGCGGTCATTCCGCCCACTGTGTGGCGGTATCTGTAGTGAACGAAACGCGATTTTGCCGCTGCGCGCTCACACAAATCGGCCAAGAACTTCCGTTTGCGCAGCTAATTTTTTTTCCTCATGAAGTGCACACTAAAACCTATCAAATGCGCGCAGAGCGGGCGCCGGGTAACCTCAGGCTTTTTTCTACGCCCAATACGAAAATATTTTTTTATGTTTATTTACAAAGTTTGCTAAAACACACGCAGTTTTGTCATTTCTCAACCAAATGCGTTTCCGAAAACAGTTAAAGATTCGCGAAGGCATGCCCTTTCGAACGATATACTTGGATTTGCTTGTAACTACTTTGGTGCAGGAGAAAAACGTCTGTTAACATGGGTGTTGTTATAGTGAAAAAACGTGCAAAGCGCGTTCGCAGACTTTGACGTGGCGCACACGCAAAACGAAGACTCGTATGGAGAAACAAAAGGCAGATTTAGATTCAGCAGGCATTTTTCATTCAGGAGAATGTGTTTGGACACATAAGAAAAATATTTGGAACTCGGACTTTTTCCTGTCGAAAGCGGTCATTCCGCCCACTGTGCGTCGCCGCGGGCAGCGCGGGCAGTGTGGACGCCGCGGGCAACGTGGGCACCGCGGGGTCGGTGTCCGTCTCCACAGCCTGCGGCACGGTCCAGGCGTTGAGTGCCCAGGCCCCGTCTATGTCCCTGAACGGCAATTCAGGGCGATGGCGGTGTTGTGGGCCTCGCCCGCCCTTCTTCACTTGGCGTTGGGATGACATTGCACGAGATTGTTCGGCTGGGCTCACGCGCGTGTGATCTGTCTGCAGTCCGCGACGGTAATGGCGTCTCCTCGTGGGCGCTGGAGGGCGGGAGCGGTGGAGCGGTGGCGTGGCGTGGCTGGTTGTAACGCGGGCTGTGATTGGCTGCCGCGTGTAAAATCCAGGCGGCCGTGCCAAGCTTTCCGCAGTGGTCGCCAGGGGCGTCCCCGTCAGTGGAGAGGCGGGAGTGGCGAGGCGTCGAGACGTAAACAATCCCCGAAGTCGTCTGCTAGGCAGTTGTTTATTTCCTCCAGCACGTTATCTGCTGACGGCGGGGTTTTGGTTACAGTGTCCTGTACGGACGGCTGCTCTTCTATCGCCTCAAACACGTCGAGGAGCATGCCGTCGACGCCGTCCCAGCCGGCGCACTGGCTTGTCTGGTGGCCCGGCTTTCGGCACAGGTTGCAGCGAGTTTTGCCTGTTTGTCGCCGTTTTTTGCGCTGCGTGCCCGTGCTTGTCGCTGCCGTTGGCTTGGCGGTTAGCCTGTGCCGGAGGCCGTTGGGCTGGAGGCCAGGCTGGTCCACGTCCAGGTTGACGTGCACCTGGACGGCGGCTTGGCATGGCGGCTCGGTGGGGCGGGCGGGGCTTGGGCTGGGAGAGGCGGGGCATGGGGGCTCCGTCGGCGTGGGGCTTGGCGAGGCGCTGATCGCCCGGGCTGGCGTAGCCGCGCCCGTGTCCCCGAGGACTGTCTCCGCCAAGTCTCGGCTGCGTGAGGGAGTTCTAGACCTGCTGCGGCTTTCTGCCTGGTTTCTTATCATTCTCCTGTAGCACGCGTAGCCGAGGAGCGTCGTCTGCTTGTTGCTGTAGCCGGCTACCTGGCCGCAGCGTCGGCACATGACGGCTGGCGGTGTGTCGGCGGGCTGGGCGTTAGCATTGTGGCGGCTGTTGCTGCGCTGTCCGTCGGACTCGCGCTTCTGCTTTGGTCGCGGGGTGCGGGTTTCTGGGGAGGTTTCCGGTGAAAGAGATGGAGGTATGGCTTAGGTAAACACTAGGTTTATTCAGTACAGACACACAACAAGTACAAGTACAGAGGCGACGGTCGGAGACGCGACGCGGGACGAGACGGGACAGAGGCTCAAAAGCCGCATCACCACAGTATTTTGAGCAAGGCGCAATTTACGTGGTCGGAAAGAAGAAGAAACTGATCCAGCATTTGGAAGCAGGAGTTCCAGCGGGTGCGGACCTCCGGGATAAGCCGAGAAGAGAGAAAGAGAGGGGGCGAGTGTGCGGGATCGAGCTGCTGCGTGGCCGGCACGCCGCGCCCTCACACGAAAACGAAACACACACACACACACACACACCGCACCTCACGCAAATGTTTGGACCGTGTGTTGGCCATGAAGAAGAACAATGCATGACATTGTATAACTTTATTTCCATCATGGCGAACGCGTGGCTGTCAATGACGCTCGCTGTCACATCTGGTTTCGCTGAGTGCCCGCGACAGCGAAGTTCGTGCGTATTTGCAAGTAGCAAAATGTTCATTCGGAGTAGTTCCTTTCTCCTCGTTACGGAAACACCATCTCGTGCTCCTGCCTGCCGATCGGACCGAATCATGTCAACATGTGACGCGTCCATCCATTCATGTCATCACCTCCACCAATTCAATCATGAAGTAGGATTCAATGACGGTCAGTAAGTGTCTGAATGCTGTGTGATGGTTAGGACACGAAGGAATTGGGATGCATCTCTGTGTGCACATCAAATAAATTTAAGGCACATCTGGTCTATGAGTAACCATTTATTAACAGAATTTTAGAGATGCATGTAGAATCAGGGGTAGTCCTCTTTCAAAGAATTAAAACTAATGTAGCTAACTAATGCTCATGTCAAAATATAACATTAGAAATGTAGAATCAGGGGCAGTCACCACCCCGGTTGGCAAACTGGGCAAACTCCTCTTTCAAAAGAATTAAAACTAATGTAGCTAACTAATGCTCATGTCAAAATTTAACAGTAGAAATGTCGAGAAATGTAGAATCAAGGGCAGTCACCACACAGGTTGGCAAACTGGGCAAACTCCTCTTTCCATGCGTATAGTGAAGCCATTATGGCCATACACATCTCCCCTATGAGCATAGCAGAAGACGTGGTCTGTGGGCGCCGGAGCCGCAAGCATACTCTCCAGCTCAAACTGTGTTGGGGCTCGTGTCATTGGCACGTATGACTTTGGCCCCCATCCAGCCTCTGTCACACACTTGATGTTGGCCCCAAATTTTCCGGTCTGAAAAAAGTTATGAGAAAGTTTGCACTGTAAAGTGTGTATTGTGACAACAAAAAATTTAAATTTGCATTCATTGATGTGACATGCCACATTATAATAGCTCATCCGTACTTACCCCAACATACTTCTTTAATCTTGAATACAGCTGGCAGTCATCATACCGCAGTGAGTTCCTGCGGTGTGGGTATGCTGGGAGGACATGAACAGTCCACTCGCCAAGGATGCCTGCTTTATTGCTAACCTTGCCTCCATGCCAGCGCACATCATAGACGAGGAGGGCTACGTTGTTGGCTTCCAACACTCTGCTGACCGCCTGCAAAGACAACGGATTAGATGAGCAATTGAAAAATATACTGCCAATGAAGTGGGACAAATTATGAGTATCTTACAAGTATTAACCGCTGTGACGCCGCTTGGGACAGGTTGTCCCTGTTGCATTTAAGGCATATTGCTGGGTCCCACCGGGCATCCAGCATGTGCCTATTGAAGCTTGCCTTGAGGTTCTCAAAGTCTGCATTCCTTGTCACATAAGGCTCCACCACATCGGGAAGGGGAACGAGGGGAACTGGTGGCGGAGCTTCATCCCATCGGTTGGCCATTGTGAAGATGTTCAAGCTGCAAGTGAAAGAATGAGTAAGTACTATTTCCTAAATAGTTGGAATAGAAACAGTTCCTAGTATGTTTCTTGTCCGTGTAATGCACTTGTCGAAGAAAAATCTAAATGTGGGTATCCAAATCTTACTCCAACACTTATTATTAATATTACACTAAAAATAAAATTAAACTTAGCTTCAGATAGTAATTAGTATTTCCTAAATAATTCACCAACAGTTACAAATTAAATTTTGCTTCATATTATGTCTTTACATATAGCAAGGAAGCTACTTCCTTGCCAAGTGCATTAGTTGGTTAGTGCTAAGACTCTGGCCATACTTATCAATGTCATGTCTGTCATGCTCACTATTAAGGTTACTGCCAGGTAAAGAATGGTGTTTTCCATTTTTCAAAATGATAGGGGTAGCTGTTTTGTGTCAAGAACCTATAAAGCCCCAATCCGACTGACTCACTGACTCACTGACTCACTCACTCACTCATAGAAATGTTTGGGGTGAAGGAGTGGTCGTAGAGACTTGCGGTTTTTTCCATTCGATTCCAAATTTTATGGGAAAATTGGGAAAAATCCCGAAAGTTGAAAATTCCTCACCGTTTCCGAGAAAACCTTCTTTATCTACAAAAAAGGGGAACAAATTTCTCACCGTTTCCGAGCAAACCTACTCAATCTTCAAAAAAGGGGACCGACCGACTAAAAATTTTTATTCGCCCCATCGGTAGGTCTGGTCGAGACATTTCCGAATCTGTGCCGCAATCCGGTCTCCGTCACTGGCAACATCCTCAAAAAACGATTAAATAGGCCTAAATTCAACAAAATCCACTCAATCTTCAAAAAAGGGGACTGACCGACTAAAAATTTTTATTCGCCCCATCGGTAGGTCTGGTCGAGACATTTCCGAAACTGTGCCGCAATCGGGTCCCCGCCACCGGCAACATCCTCAAAAAACGATTTAATAGGCCTAAATTCAACAAAATCCACTCAATCTTCAAAAAAGGGGACCGACCGACTAAAAATTTTTATTCGCCCCATCGGTAGGTCTGGTCGAGACATTTCCGAAACTGTGCCGCAATCGGGTCCCCGTCACCGGCAACATCCTCAAAAACGATTAAATAGGCCTAAATTCAACAAAATCCACTCAATCTTCAAAAAAGGGGACCGACCGACTAAAAATTTTTATTCACCCCATCGGTAGGTCTGGTCCAGACATTTCCGAAACTGTGCCGCAATCGGGTTCCCGTCACCGGCAACATCCTCAAAAACGATTAAATAGGCCTAAATTTATCAAAGTCCACTCAATCTTCAAAAAAGGGGACCGACCGACTAAAAAATTTTATTCGCCCCATCGGTAGGTCTGGTCGAGCGGTTTCTGGAACTGTGCCGCAATCGGGTCCTGGTCACCGGCAACATTCTAAAAAACGATTAAATAGGCCTAAATTTAACAAAGTCCACTCAATCTTCAAAATAGGGGACCGACCGACTAAAAAATTTTATTCGCCCCATCGGTAGGTCTGGTCGAGCGGTTTCTGGAACTGTGCCGCAATCGGGTCCTGGTCACCGGCAACATCCTAAAAAACGATTAAATATGCCTAAATTTAACAAAGTCCACTCAATCTTCAAAAAAGGGGACCGACCGACTAATAATTTTTATTCGCCCCATCGGTAGGTCTGGTCGAGACATTTCCGAAACTGTGCCGCAATCGGGTTCCTGTCACCGGCAACATCCTCAAAAACGATTAAATAGGCCTAAATTTAACAAAGTCCACTCAATCTTCAAAAAAGGGGACCGACCGACTAAAAATTTTTATTAGCCCAATCGGTAAATCAAGTCGAGACATTTCAGAAACTGTGCCACAATCGGGTCCCCGTCACCGGCAACATACTCAAAATCAATCATCAATTGTCATCAAGAACCTATAAGCCGCAAAATCCGACTGACTGACTTCCTCACTCATCAATCATCAAGAACCCATATAGCCCCAATCCGACTGACTGACTCACTCACTCATAGAAATGTTGGGGGTCAAGGAGTGGTCGTAGAGACCTGCGGGTTTTTCCATTCGATTCCAAATTTAATGGGAAAATTGGGAAAAATCTCAAAAGTTGAAAATTTCTCACTGTTTCCGAGCAAAGCTACTCAATCTTCCAAAAAGGGGACCGAATGACTAAAAAATTTTATTCGCCCCATCGGTAGGTCTGGTCGAGAATTTCCAAAACTGTGCCGTAATCGGGACCCCGCCACCGGCAATTGGGCAATCATCTTCTAGAATCTATATAGCCCCAATCCGACTGACTGACTGACTCACTTACTCACTCAAAGAAATGTTTGGGGTCGAGGAGTGGTCGTAGAGACTTAAGGTTTTTTTCCTTTCACCTCTATCCTTGTCAAAGCAGTCTTCAATATTTTCCGGACCTTGTATGCACCCATTGACTGCCACAGTAGCCAATGCAATACAAGCTATCTATTTGGGCAGTAAAAGTAGCCTTATTATATGGTCAAAAGCGGTTAAATAGAGCTTTCAAAGAAGCAGGACATTTACTTCCTTAGAAAATTGGCCTTTGCTCACCACGGACTTACTGAAAATACTTCGGCACGCGCTCCACACATGCGGGGGTCTGGGGGCGGAGCCCCCAGCGAGCAGCGCGAGTCTTGGTCTAAAGTTGCTCACTATAACATGAACTTTAACCGACACAAGGGCCCTCAACTACTAGTTGGTTCTGAATCATTTCGGTTTACGTTACAAATTTTGTTGTTTCTCTCAAAGTCTCCTCACGAATACTGAAAAAGTTTTCAGCCTGCAGCCTCTGACAAATTGGTTCTAATAACATGTAAAAACGATGGGCTTTTTGCAATCTATGTTAGTTTTTCAACCAGAGATAAAAGTTGTTGAAAACATTGGTACAAATCATGATGGCCAAAATTAAAATCATTGAATAATTATTCACTGGGGGGGGTCCCATTAAGGGGGCTAAAGTTAATGAGGCAACCTGTTATGACAGGTTTGCAAGTTTACATCCCCTAGGCCGCGGTTTTCTGGTCCTCAAACCCACTAAATTTAAAGGGGTACAACAGGTATAGGAAGCAAGCCGATTGTTCCTGGCACAGAGGCCTACAATCGGATCGCTTGCTGTGAATTAAACGGTCCACCCACTGCTAAAACCGGCCGGCCAACAGTACACAAAAACAAACAACAAGAGCACATCTCCCGCCGTTTTCAGCCAAGGTAATGTGCCTTATTTCAAAAGCAGCACTTCGCCCAAATGTAGAACAAAACATTACAAGCATTAGCTTCCGCGTTATTCAGCGAGCTTACAGAGAAATTACTTAGCAGCTCCGAAAAAACAAAACGCAAATAGGTCTGGACGAAACTTAGGCAAAACCGGATGTAGCTGGTCACAAGTATGGAGTAGATGCTGCTGTGCAGTACACTGCATACGTGATTCCTTGCTTCTTCTTCCAACCTTTGGCTGTTGGATTACTAAATCAATTCGCACTTAACTAACAAACAGAAGCAAGAGTAAGATTACATATCTCTATTTTAAAATTTAAGTCTCTTCGAAAATGAAATTACAAAGTCATTCAAAGTTGAATACTATGTGCAGGTCAGATGCTCACCATAAGCAAGGCGGAGAGGATGTGTGCCTCAGCCGGCCGCCATTGCTCTCCTGAAGCCCGTGCTTTTATACTTGTCCTCGAGGGTGATATTAAGGAGCGCTTCAATTACTTTCCAAGACAAATCTTCATTGTTCTTCCACCTGCGTTTTGTTCCTTTGTGAGAGTATGAGTTAGCTGAACAGTTCCTTAGGGTCAGGGCGGGGAAAAACTGGACAGGGGAAGAACTGGACACCCCACATTTTACTTCAAATGCCGTATGTACTGGCCTGACAACTGACGTGAAATGAACTGCTGATGCCAAGGAACAACTTTTGATAGTTGTTATTCCTGTGCCTACGGTATTTGAAGTAAAATATGGGGTGTCCAGTTCTTCCCCTGTCCAGTTCTTCCCCGCCCTGACCCTAATGATTCCAATAAATGCACTCTCATTCCAGGAACGTGACATCACGTTGAAACGAACGTGACAAAATGTCACGTTCGTTTGAGCATTGTGTCACGTTCGTTTGAGTGTGAACAAGCTGATTTTTGGCCAATTCACACCCAAACGAATGTGACACAATGCTCAAACGAACGTGACACTTTGTCCCGTTTGTTTCAACGTGACGTCACGTTCCTGGAATGAGAGTGTGTGGGGGTCAATAATGAAAAATATGTATCTGACCTCACACACAGCAGCTAAATTCAATGTTCTGAAAATAACATCTTTCTTCTGCTTCTTCTTGGTCTTGTCAACTGATCCATGCATTCTGAAGAAGTTCTTGTTTGTGGGAGCTCCATCACAAATTGAAGACAGTACTTTCAGATTACTGTTTTCAACACGATAAATTACATCCCATGCTCTAGTAAAACGAGGTGCTGCTGTTATAGCTTCAGTGGGACATATGGCTACAATGCCACGTAAGTCATTTGTGACACCTTGCAACACCAAGACTTTGGTAGCAGGTTTCAATTTGAACTCTGTTCCTGAAATCTGAGCTTCAACAGATGCCATTTCACTTTCAAATGAGGTCAAATTGGTGTAACCAATTACTTCACCTGTGCTTTTCTTCAGAACAATATCAGCTTAGAGTGTACACTCATCTCATCAAATAATAAATTGAAAAACGTTTCGTGTTCTTCCCTAGGTTTGCTTTCTAGTTCTTTCTGTAAGTCTCCTATCATAAAATCTTGTGCTCCTTCCTTTGCTTCAACAACATGAGTATAATCATAGAGAGTCCTTTCTGATGGCAGTTTGATATCCCCTGCGCCTGAACAGCCGAGGGTCGAGGGCGAGGGGTTTGACAAGTTGGGAAAGGGAAAAGGGAGGAAATCAATAGGGGGCAGCCGATGAATTCCGAATCTTCCCCAGGGCGACAGCTTGAGACCATAACCGA